TGAACGTTGCACAATCGGAATTCATATGGTACATCATACGGGGGTAAGACGAAGCACAATCGTGGCCACAGCATGTTGTTAATAAAACGTATAATTGCCGACGATTATGTAAGTTCAACGGGGTCCCGTCGATCCCTTATTATTCATTTGCCTTTCTTGAATGTCCATCTTGATGGTAGACCGGCGATCATAATTGCTGCACCGTAAATTCGATTCAAATAAGGAGCGCATGAGCCGGCTGTATGAAGACCGCACAGAGATTCGGTGCTTAAGATCGTGAGCGATATCGGGGATAAAAAATCGAGCATCACTTTAATTAGCACGATAAGTACACCGTGAGTATGTTCGGAGTACCAGCGGAAAGTTCGCGTTACACGCTGATGGGAAACTGACGATGCCTTTAAACGATTTTTCGATCCTTCTTTCTTTTTTCTTCTTGTGCGCGCCGGTTGCATGAGATGGTTATTAAAGATGTCATAGATTAACATCTGTGAAAGTGCTTATGGGAGAAATTATGTCGTTATTATGTTTTGCGAGATACTTCGGAACGTGTTCGTACGCAATTCAATGCGATACGTGTGATTTGATTAATGACGCAACATTATCTTTTTTGTTCATAGTTTACAGATACCTTCATGCAAATCAAATTTGAATAATTTAATCACTTAAAATAAAAATACTTAAGCTATTTTACAAGTGCTCTTTTAACATTAAGTAAAAAATTCTATAATTTATTCAAAGTTGCACCCCTTTTAAGGACCACGATTCTAATAAAACGATCCTATATTTTCTCCATAAAAAAACAATTTACCGAACTTATTTAATTTCCTCCTAATTCTATTAAAATAACAGGCAAAACTAGAACGAAAGTAAAAAATTTAATTAAGAAATTTCAGCAAAATGGCAATAAAGTATTCTGCCACAAAGCAGCCGACTACCGTGCGGTTCTTCCCTTAATTAATTCTATTAAGAGCAGAAAGATTAACAACCCCTTAGACGCTGTGTCTTGCCGACGTGTGTCAGTTCGATTTACCACACACGTTTTACCCTAACCTCATCCCCTCGTGGTTTAACGTTTACACGCGTGCCCCAATTTACTCGGATCCGCCCGAGATTACTTGAAGCTCCATCGGGGACCTCGCCCCGTCGTTTAAACGACTCCTTTTTACTGTCTCAGAGCACACCGCTGCATTCACCTGCGGATCACAATCTATTACGAAGAGGCGTTCCCCATGGATTCCTCTTCGACCACCATATGTCTGAGAGCTCTCCTCGCGAGAGTTTAACCTCGAGTACGTCTAACAGGGGTTCTCAAATTTTCTACGCCAGGAATTCTACCCCTCGTCTGAAGAGAGACACTTACACCCCCGCTTTCTGCGCGGAGGACTCGGAAAACATTCATTACGAATTAAAGCTTCGATGGAATTAAAATGTGAAATTATGCAGATTGCGATTATGTAGTTATATTGTGGGAAATGTGGGTTTTTTAATTTTTGTGATAGGGGTTTTATTTCAAACATTGTAGGGTTTTGTAGTCTTAGAGTTTCACTGTCTTTAGAGTCTTACAATTTTATAATTTTGCAATTTTATAGTTTTGCAATTTTATAGTTTTGCAATTTTATAGTTTTGCAATTTTATAGTTCTGCAATTTTATAGTTCTGCAATGTTATAGTTCTGCAATGTTATAGTTCTGCAATTTTATAGTTTTGCAATTTTATAATTTTACAATTTTGCAATTTTACAATTTTGCAATTTTACAATTTTACAATTTTACAATTTTACAATTTTACAATTTTACAATTTTACAATTTTACAATTTTACAATTTTACAGTCTTACAGTTTTACAATTTTACAGTCTTAAAATTTTATAATCTTACCAATTTACAATTTTGCAATTTCACAATATTACAGTCATACAACATTACAGCCCCAGAAAGTCTTCAAAAACAGATACTTTCGCTACCATGTTTGGACTATAATTAAAAGTTAATTTGCCAGTGATTTGCTCATCGTACTCGACTATTTCGTAAGCTGGTTATTAATTCAACGTTTAAGTATTTTTTCCTTTTATACAGTCGAAAATCAACATACGTTAACCCATAATTTGCAACAGGAATGCTTCGGTTATTAAATAAAAAACGGCACTTGACAAATTCGCAATTAGCGTTTTATTAGAGAAAAATTGCTGATTGCAGCGAAGTAGCGTAACTGTATTTCAGGCATAAAATAATCATAAAATGAGATAATGGTATATAAAGGGGATATTCCGTGTGCCGTACCAATCGAATACGTAAGTCGAAAGTGATTGTGCGGTTTCGTTCGCAACGATTCTTGGTAGGCATTATAAGTACATTTATTGACCTGTCCCCCCATTCAATTTCTGACTTTCAATGGGTTATTAACGAAAGTAGGTTGAACGAGAAACTTCAAAGGATTTCTCGCACTGATCACACAAACGCATCGGGGAAATCGATTTGAGAATCACGGTCTTCAATTTAATATGTCGAACAAAAATAATAATAAAAACCTAATACGACCAGTCACATATAGCACATTAATTAATTATTACTCGAACACTGAACAATTTGCAAATTCGATAATTTGGAGATTTTGTTAAAAATTTCACTTTAAAATCTACAACTAGGTTGTCGGGTGTACTACTCAAATTTTGTTGAAACGAATCAAGGGTTATTAATTAAAAATTAACAGGTACTGAATTTTCTGCATATCAAAATTTTAATAATTTCATGAAGCTTTAATTTTCGGTTCGACACGAATCTTCACCGCTTTCAGATGAACAATTAAGTTCCAGAAGTAACCCACCATCCCGCAATATTTATGATCCACTCACCGTAGTATTCGCAAGAAGGAATTTATGAAGGCCAAACAAAGATAAACTTGATGGAAAAAGAAGAAAAAACGGAGCATCTCCAATCGAATTTCGACAGCATTCGCGACACCTGCGCGAACGTTACAAGGGAACGAGTAAAAAGTTACAAGCTTTTGGAGCGTGGATGGCCGTTAGGTCCGGGTTAAAATCCTGGAACAAGGGCAGGTACCGTTATCTCGCAGCGTGAGAGGCGCGTGCCCGGCGTCAGCACGCTTTCGGTTACCACCTTCGCCAACCTACACAAAAATGCTTCCAACAATGACGAAAAATTTTACCCCCTACGTGTTCGACCACGATCGAACCGCAGAAGCGTCCGGGATAGTTCAATGCTTGTTCGAAGAAAAACGGTGATTGTAGCATTGTACTCTTCGGGAATAAGCTGTAGGAGATTTTGGAAGATTCAGGGAAAATGGATATTTGGTGTCTATTATTCTTCTTTGATTTATAGTTCTGATAGCACGATGGCACCAAAGGCAAAAGTGGCGAGGTTACATGGTTGGCTCATAGGTCTATCAGAAGTCAATTCGTTGAGGTTCTCTTGAAATCTATGTTGAAATGAAGAATTAATGTTTATATTCATTTATGGTTTGCAGTTTGCTTATATATTTTCCAATTTCATTTTTAATTTCAAAGTATAAGCTGATAGGTTTAGGGTTGACTTGCTGACCGTCATAGTGAAAGCTGAAGTTTCTGATTAAGCTATGACTAAAAATTTGAAGTGTGGATGAATTATACTCTGGTAGGTTTAGTATTAACTTGCTAACTATCACAGTGGAAGCTGGGGATTCTGATCAGTCATCACAAAAAATTTGAACTGTGTATAAATTATACGCTGGTAGGTATAGTGTTAGCTATAATAAAACTAGACATTTCTGATCAAGCCATCACTAAAAATTTTAACTGTGTATAAATTATACGCTGATAGATCTATCTTGTTGACGGCCATAGTGAAAGCTATTACTTCTGATCAAACTCCCTAAAATTCTAAAATGTAAAATTACAAACCATACAACAATACATTAGTAATACATTAACTTCCAAATATTGAAAATTCTAAAGTCCCAAATATCCACAAAGACTCCAAAGTTCAAAAATTTCCTCCAATTCTTCTTTGCCTCCAAACCTTCCATCTTCCAATAGTCCCAAGTCTGAAAATCACAGCAAAAATCCCAAAATTGAAACACACCCCAGAGAAAATCTGAAGTCTGCAAAGTTCCAAGTCCGACAGGGATCCATCAAGTCCAGTTTGTCTCGCTATATCTCCGGTATAAAAGCATCGAGCACTGTCGCTATAAAACTGAAACAGCAATCTGGCAGAGCCGATCGTCGTCGGGTAAAGGTCCATCGAAATTGCTCGCCGGAGAAAGAGAAAGATTCAGTCGCGACTTGATTTCTGACCGGTCGATCGCTTCGAGTGTTCGCTCGGCGAAGTAATGGCCAGGGTAACAACTCGAGTAATCTGCCTACGCAATTTTACTGGATCAGCTCGAGGCGGCCTCCGCTCGTGTTCCGTGCACACGTTTCATTCGCACGAACGCTCGTGGCGGCAATGCGAGTTTGCGCGTGCAAAAGTCAGCGTGAAGTCGTAACGACCGGGTCGCCGTGGACACGCACGTTCTGGCTCCGGGTTCACCCACACGTGCTGCGATAGGGCCGAACCGGTACTGGCAATTTTCAGGGTAATTTGCCGACGAAACCCGGCGAAAAAATACTGACAGATAGGTCAGCGTGCAAAGCGGTTCTGCCTAGAGAGACTTCTATCTGGGTTTCTTGTTCTCGATACCGCGTTACGAGAGCAAGATGTAGTCTTCAGCTTCAAGATGTAGTTCGCTTCAACCGGTTAACGTGTCGGTTCAAAAGTATTGGGATTAAATTGTGTAAAATTTTAGTAAAAAATAATAATGTCAATTCGTTATAAATTACCTAATAGAATGAATTACAGCACTGCACTTTATTTTTTATAAAATACAGCGGAAGAGGAGGTGGAAGTAACTGTAACTGGAAGAGGAGATATGAGAATAACATTCGTTGATGATTTACATATATTTATTCTGCATATATAATATAATTTGTATAATAAAAATCGTTTAAGTTTAGGTTAGCCGAAGGTCTAGGTAGATGAGTCCAACATACATCCCCCGATGGTAATGTCGAAGATGTGATGTTCCAGACAATGTTTTTCCACCGGTTTTCCATCCTCGCATTCATAATACATATGTTTGTCACCGTGAGCTGCTTTCTTGTCTGGATTAGCTGAGCAGTCTGGCTCCGGAAAATTTGATTGGTTACTTGGCGTCGCCACCGACGATATTTCATTTTCGGAAGTCGTGGTGTCATAATCCCATGTGGTTGTAGAATTCTCTGAAGGTTCAGTTGGTCCCTGACAATTACTACCACCTTCCCAGTCACAAACTTGCAATTCTTCGTTGAAGAACAATTTAATTCCTTTCAAAGTCGGGCAATCCATCTCGAAACCGTATCGTCCTAAACACTTGTAAAACTTAGTGCAGTCCGTTTCGTGAGCCACGTTGAACGTTCGCTGGAAGCTGTTCTTGCCGTTGCACGCTTTCATAGGTTTTCCAGTTGTTTCGGAAAATGGAACGAATGCAGCTGTCGCTGCGCTGACGAACATTACAAACAGTAAACCTGAAATTTAAAAACGTGGTTCAGTTATCTTTATTCTGCGATACGCGATTTTTCGATTGAAGATTAATTTTGTGAAACAGGTTGACACTGAAACTGTCAGAGTTTTATAGGAAGTTTTTCAAGTTAGAAAATGTAAGATGGTTTTTTAGCTGCATTTCTAAGGTTGTACTTTAAAATTAAAGACTTAGAGACAGTATCAAATAGGGTCGATTTGTTAAATATAAGAATTTGAATGCATGCTTTCGTTTTGTATCTAAAGTGCTGCAATTAATTAACCATGATATTGTGAATGAAAAATGATATTCTTATACGGTATCATAAGTAAAAATATCGTAAGTAATTATTAGAGACATGGATTTAGTGTAACAGAATATTTTTTCAATACGAAAATTATTTTTCCATGCGAATAGTAAAGGTGTTAAATTACTTACACTTCATGATGAATGTCTCGTAATAACTTCTCGTAACAACTTCTTGTAACTTCTACTGAAATGACTGACGATTTTGTAGCAAATCTAGTTACTGATACCTCTGCAGCTCGTAGATCGACTTTTATAGTCGATCGATTGTTATCTTTATCTCAGTATGAATGCTATCACGCTCATTACGCATGTAGCCGTGCTTAACATCTGTAAAATATTCAGTACGGAATTTTGTATAGAATTATTTCGAAACATTTATTTGTAGTAGTGCGAATGTTGACGCTCCTTTTATTCGCTAATGATCTTATTGAATTCGACAGTTTCGACGATTTCGACATCGAGCAAACAACCGCGAAATCTGATCAATAGCCACATTCGTACGAATCATTCAAGAGATCGTGAGCGAAAAATGTATCACATTTTCTTTATTTTTAAATTTGTTATCAAATTTTATTGTAAGTGAAAAATTTCACATTTTTTAAAATACCACATCAAAGTACTCTATTTTACTTGAGTGATAAATAAAAAGTTCTGCGTACACAAGGAAATGAATTTTCTAGAAAGTGTTTCTTAACATTTCCACGTTTTACGCTTGGTGTATTATTAAAGTGCCATAACAGTTTCTCCGCGCCGATCAATAAAATACCGAAATTCATCGATATCGTTTAAGTACAGTTTTCCTTGAAGCCCGTCCGTAAATGGCACACGTAACATAAACGGATGGTCGTTAAACGATTTGAGTCATTATTAGCAGCTATAAATCGACATTAGAAGAGCCTTGCGCTAACCAACTGCATCATCATCCACTTGCTTTATGAATTTCGAGGCGTAATTAAGGTTTCTTTTAGCGGAGCTGTAAAAGATCACGCTTCCGAGATTGAAATCGGAATAAAAATAAAATACGGTTGAAATATGGCTCCTGCTTCCCGTTGACTTTATTTATGCTAACATGAGTAACGTGCACCTGCATGCACTTTCTAAAATAACGCTTCGTCTAATTCTTCGAGAATCAAATCAAGAACTAAGTCGAGAACGTTTCAGATACTTCGCTATCAGTTTAAAGTACATTAAAATGGTAAATATTCGAGTTTGATGTCTTCACACAGAAAGAGATTTCCAGCAAAAAGATTAGCGGTAAACGTGTGCCAAGCGTCACGTGTAAATTTCGATTTTTATTCGAACGTCATCGAGTCTCGCAAATTCTTGCGCGCAGCCAAAATTGGCCGCCAATTAGACACGTCCAATTACTTGTCGGCACGCGGACCAACTACCGACCGAATCCACCGGAATAAGAAGCATTCGCGGGGACCCGGTTGTCCTTTTTACGCCCCAAGACGATAATTCGCTCCGACGAGTGGCTGCGAAGCGACGCGGAATCTGTCGCTAACGAACCGGTAAGACAACGAGGCGAACCATAACGTCGCTATGTAAAGTCGAATGGAAACGAAGGATCGTAAAGTTTCCAACTGACAACGGCATTAAAGTCAAAGGACCGTACATTAGCACGAGGGTAATGATCGTTCCCCGGACATCGTAGAACGGTAAGTTGCATTCGACTTTACTCCCGACAACTGGATTCGAAACGACCATAAATCACGTCATTTTTTATTCTTATTAGTTCTATGTGTATAAGGTCTATTGTTCGATTGAGACTTTTCAAAAATATGTGGGCATAAATTGAATACATTTAAATTCATGTTAGGTGAGGCAGACGAAACGAACTTAATGAGACAATGTTGTGTTTGAAGATTGAAGATGAAGTTGAAAAATTAAATTCACATTAGAAGGTGAAATTGAAGGAGTAAGTTGGGAGCTGAAAGTGAAATTGAATGATCAAGTTCAGATTAGAAGATCACATTGATAGACTAAGTTCAGATAAAAAGATCAAAGTAAAGGGTAAGTATCTGTACAGTGCGTTTGACGAACATCAGTCTTCACTGTGGCTCTCAACGTGACATTGTAAGTACCAGAATTAAATTGAAATTGAAGTAGAAAAATAAATAAGTAAATACTGAAACATTAACCAACATAACCATTCACTTCAACAAACATATAACAAATATTTTGCCAGAAGCACAACAGAACATTGTGACATGAAATGAACTTTGGAACCTAAGCCCAGCCATTTTGGTCTAATAGGAAGATCTAACATTAAACTATATTTGTGAACTCATTGCAGCCTTGAGATCCAGAGTTGAACCTATAAATAGTGTTCGATATAACATGTTCACAGTTATACAACACGAGCAAATAGTAGTTGTAAAGTAACTAATGCACGCAATCTTCCTGAGCCACCCACGACTTCACCCCCGAACGTCAAGGGTGCAAAAGAGAATAGAAAAATTGTATCAAAATTGCCCCCGGGGGCGTTCTTTTCAGCGTTAAACCACGGCAAATGATTAATCGATTCATTGTCTGCTCGCGAACAATCGGTAGTCACGATCGTGGCGTGTAAACGTGCCTTGAAGTGCGGGTGGGGATGTCGAAGCGTGGCGGAGCGTGCTGCTCGCTCGCCAAGCGGATGCTCGAATCGCCCGAGGCGAACGATTACCTTTCCTGGTGCATCAACCAGCTCGAGATTTGCTCGCACACCATAAACAAAGAATACTTTCTTCTTCCCCCGTATTTTCAGCATCGAGACCTAAATTCTCTGTCATTAGAGTGGTCGGGTCGTGGTTGCAGAGACGCTTCTCTGATCTCTCATCTTTCCTTAAATGTCTATCATTGCGCGCGTGAAACGTGGAAACTCGACGCTCACGCGGACTTTTTGTAATTTCGGGCTCTCGAAATGGAGTCCATGTAAATGTACCTGCATGAGCTGCAACGAGATACAGAAGCAATTGTAGGAACCAGAAATTGCAATCTACTGAATTATCTCCCGGGTAAAATAATGACGAGGGAAAATATAGACTGCTGCGGTAAAATGTATGTGCACATTGTCGTGCAATTGAGCAAAATTATCGGAGATTATGTTGCTACATGGCTGATACAAAATAACGACTCAAAGAGTACATCATCTTAGATTTATTTTTTTATACTTTCAAGAATGTACTACTTGATTGAACGTACTTTTATATACTTTTGACAGTGTACTATTTGATTGAACATACTTTTATATATTTTCAACATTGTACTATTTTATTGAACATACTTTTATATATTTTTAACAATGTGTTACTTGATTGAACATATTTTTATATACTTTTAACAATGTACTATTTGAGTGAACATATTTTTATATACTTTCAACAATGTACTATTTAAGTGAACATATTTTTATATATTTTCAACAATGTGCTACTTGAATGAACATATTTTTATATACTTTCAGCAATGTACTATTTTATTGAACATATTTTTATATACTTTCAAGAATGTACTATTTTATTGAACATACTTTTATATATTTTCAACAATGTACTACTTGGTTGAACATATTTTTATATACTTTTAACAATGTACTACTTGAGTGAACATATTTTTATATACTTTCAACAATGTACTATTTGACTGAATATACTTTTATATACTTTCTACAATGTACTACTTAATTGCACATATTTTTATAATGCATCATCTGAATATTTTGGTACTAATATTTCTTATGATTTATATGTAACCATAACCTCTAAATAAATTGATGTATGTGACCATTGTAAAAGATGTACATCATGAAAATATTATTTAAAATTTACATTATACATATTTTTAACAGTGCACTATTTGTTTTAATATACTCTAATAATTTGTTTTAATGTACGTCATATTTGTCTGAATATATTTTAAACATGTTTCTAGTTTATGATATGCGCGCACACCGTCCGCCATTTTGTGTAGAATAAATCGACGTGACCATTACACGAAATGAACGTTGCACATCGTGCTTGCGAGTCATAAATTTTGAAAAAAGTTGCAAATGCATGCCTACGGTGTAACCCTAAAATTCCTTTATATCGGTAAAGTGTAACATTGCACCGTCAAATCACGATGCAGTGCTTTCATTTCCCCGAAATCCAATTTCTTTCATCCTCCGGAGCAATTACCTTGGACCGAGGTCAAATATATAGCAACTCGGTCCCGTCGATATATAGGAAGGAAGTCCCTACCCAAGGGACCTATTAAAAGAAATAGGCTCTGATTATACTCGAGCGAGAGCAGCGCAGGGGTGCAGCTGCAACGCGAAGAGAAAAGTGAGGGCCGCATCGAGGACAATCCTCTTTCATGGATGCACTTCACAAAATATAAGCAGCACTCATTATCTTGGCCGGGGAATTTGGATTACACGAAGCAAGCACGTGAGAAAGATTACTCTGTAATCTTGTACGGATATCGACGTCGTAATTTCCCTTGCTACAAATACACGGTGTCCCACTATCCTCCGGCTAAACTTTATTATCCATACATGTTGCTGAAGGTCGAGCAAATACTTTATCGTGTAAATACAAGCCTGTCTTAAAAATCTCTACCGTATTTGTACTATGTTATTACTATACTGTATACTTAATTATTATCTGATCATCGTTTCATTAAAAAAATGTGTAAATTGCAACTTCTTCGAGTTTTGGAAATAAGAAAAATTTAATATGCGTAGTTGAGTCATTTTCTGGGGGAAAACGTATTATTTGCGAGCAGTTGTAAAGAGTTAATCAAATATGCAATTGATCAAAATTAAGGAGTTACCTATATACATGGAAAATTAATACAAACCATATTCAAACTTAAATAACCAACATTTAGAGACTTAACACTTCTACATACAATTAAAATAGTTGCATTTTGTACGAATTTTAAAATCATTTACCAAAAATATTTTCACGATTTGTTCCTCCACAAAGAAACTTGTCATCAAAATAAAATAATCTTCTCTTATAAAACATCTTTTTAATTTTTTTTGTATGTTTGCCGAAATGTAGGAAGTGAACGACATGATTGAAACCTGAACGCCCTAAAAAAGCAGCAATGATTAAATGCCTGAAGGAAACCTAAATTCACCAACTTTGTAGCAAAATATATCTTGCCATAGCCTAAAGCTGTCGATACTGACCAACTTGTCGTTAGTTTTGGCAAATTGAGCATCAAGCAGCAAACGTAAGCCTGTTATTACCGTCGTTGGCTGTTTCGT